CCACCCCCCATAGATTGATAACAGCAACATTGGTAAAGACAGGGAGAAAAGGGCATCATTAATATTCCTTTCCACTAAGCCCACAGCCTTGTGTTATACATTTCTGTCTGAAGTTGGGACCTATACTGTACTTTCCATGTCCCAAGGGACCTGAGGGAAGTAATCTATAATAATAATAAATACGACTACTATATTTTTAACACCCTTACATTGGCAGAGAACTTATCCCAGAAAAGCCCGTCTCCCAGAAACATAAAGGAAAGATTGATTGATCTACATTGTGTGTCTTCTAAACTCATCTGGAAAAAAAAAAGCAACTTTGACAGGGTCCTTCTAAATGCAGCGTATGAACTCAGTACTGTAGGTGTGTCACTTTCTCTCACAGTATTATACATATTGTTTTCTAGCGTGAGAAGAATTATGCGTCACCCGTGCCACACTATTACTCAGTCTCATTTCCCTAAACTACTTCCTCCTCTGCCCCAGGATTGTCATCTAAACTTGCTCCACCAGCTCTCCCCCACTTCAACAGACGTGCACACCCACATATGCACGCACGGCTTCATTTCCTGGTTTTCTTGAAAGTCAGCAAAGGAAAATCAAAACACTGTCAAACAGAAGCCCTGATTGATTCTTCAGTACAGAATTAAAGTAATGGAAGAAACTTTCTTATTTATGTCAGCATTAAACGCAGTGTATCAGTTTAATTGGGGAAATATATCTGTGCTAATAATGGACATACATAAAGTAGTTGCTGACCTTTTAATACTAGGGAAATGCAGACTCAGCAGAAAGCCTTTGAATGTTTGTCTCCATCCACAGGAAGGAAAGTGATATTACACTTATATGCTTTCAGAACACCATACATTCTTGGGCTACGTCTACACTGGCCCCTTTTCCGGAAGGGGCATGTAAATTTCACTAGTCGTCGTAGGGAAATCCGCGGGGGATTTAAATATCCCCCGCGGCATTTAAATAAAAATGTCCGCCGCTTTTTTCCGGCTTTTAAAAAAGCCGGAAAAGAGCATCTAGACTGGCCCCGATCCTCCGGAAAAAGCGCCCTTTTCCGGAGGCTCTTATTCCTACTTCAAAGTAAGAAGTAGGAATAAGACCCTCCGGAAAAGGGCGCTTTTTCCGGAGGATCGGGGCCAGTGTAGACGCTCTTTTCCGGCTTTTTTAAAAGCCGGAAAAAAGCGGCGGACATTTTTATTTAAATGCCGCGGGGGATATTTAAATCCCCCGCGGATTTCCCTACGACGACTAGTGAAATTTACATGCCCCTTCCGGAAAAGGGGCCAGTGTAGACGTAGCCTCGGTGTATGGAAGTGGTTCATTCACATCTTGACTTGATTAGTGCCATTAACACAAGTAACATCTTCCTTGTATATCACCCTGCTTCTGTAACTTCTACTCCAATTCATCTGATGAAGTGGGTTTTACTCACGAAAGCTTATGCGCTAATACTGTAAATCTGTTAGTCTTGAAGGTGCCAAAGGACTCGTTGCTTTTTATAATAAAAAAAGAATGGCCTTTTACAGAATATAGGAAACCAGCCACCGTACTGACAATAGAGCAGATAGGTCCTCTTCTGTATTTAATGTAAAGACCAAAGATGATAAGGTGAAAAAACTGACAAATATAGAAGGTTTCTTTATGTTAGTTTCCCTTTCAGGAGAAAATAGGGTTAATAAGGTACTTCTTATATGCATTGATTTCCAAATTGTTCAGGAGAGGCACTTCCTAATCTTCATTAGTCTGTCGAAGATGCATGTGGATTTCAACATTAAGCAGTAGTTTACTTTGCAAGTCCTTAAAGAACAAAATTATATGATGAACATTTCTGTTTAGTATTGTTAGGTTGGGAGCAACCTTTCTAACTTCAGACTCAGCCCCATACATTCATTGATGATAAATTCCCATTATTCAATGTCCAGTATCCATAATTTCTGGGTTTGCAGGCAGCCTCCCCAAGCAAGGTGGAGACAATCTCAAGAGCCAGCTCTTCTCCTGGAGGTTTCCTTATCTGCTCTTCCCATCCTACACAACTTCCTTGAGGGCAAGATACAGAGTAATCGGATACTGAGTGATAAGGTCAGAAGTACAGATTGACGTTTTTGACTAATCTCTAAGATTAGTCATTGTTTGTGAACATGAATCCACCTCTGCCACAGTTTCATAGGTATTTTTCAAGGATAAGTACATGGTGTACATTCATGTACATACAAAAGCCTATGACTATTTTATTATTCACGTAGTACTGAAGCCTATTAAGTGAATGTTGAAGCTCTAAATTTCATTGTGCTCAAATTATTGCATCTTTGGTGTGTAGTAAGGTAATTCTAAGCATTCAGCATTGATAGGCAAGTATGGTAATCTGAATTAGTCCTTAATTTCTTCCATTGACAAGATTTCATTCTTCTTTACTAATTGCCCAGAGTCAGTTGTACCCAATCCTTAACCAACCATTATATTTTGACTTGTCAGTTCGAACTAGGGTTGTTCATAGACTGTTAGAGTCTAAATTAAGATTTTAATTTTAAGATTAAATGTTGTTGGGGTTTTGTGGTTTTCCAAATTAGAAGTATCCAAGTTTAGGTGGATTTTAAATGAAAATACAGAATATCACATTGCAGAGGAAATAAAATTACTTTGGGTTAGATAAATGGATAAATGCACAAAAATTGTTCATGCTCAAGCTAGCATTATGGAGACAGCAAGTACTAGTCAAAGGCAAATTGGCAGGTTTTGACTAAGATGAGAGAAGTGAAGGAGCATGACATTTTTTATTTTATAGTCACCAAAATGCTAGGAATTATTTTAAAAGGGAAAAAGAATAAGACAGAGAATATCTTATCGCCTCTATATAAATCCATGGTATGCCCACATCATCAATACTGCAAACAGATGCAGTCGCCTCCTCTCAAAAGCTAGCTTGGCAGTGGAAAAGGTTCAGAAAAGGGCAACAAAAATTATTAGAGTTTTGGAATGGCTGTTATATGAAGAGAGATTAAAAAGACTCGGACTTTTTTGCTTAGAAAAGAGAGTAAGGGGGGATATGATAGAAGTCTATAAAATCATGACAGGTGTGGAAATTGTGAATAAGGAAATTTTATTTACTTGCTCCCATAAGAAACGAGGGGTCACCAAATTAAATTAATAGGTAGCAGGTTTAAAACAATCAAAAGAAAGTTTTTCGTCACAGTACACCTGTGGAACTCCTTGCCAGAGGAGGTTGTGGAGACCAGGACTTTAACAAGGTTAAAAAAAGAACTAGATAAATTCATGGAGGTTAGATTCAATCAATACTTATTAGCCAGGATGGGTAGGAATAGTGTCCCTAGCCTCTGTTTGTCAGAGACTGGAAATGGGTGGCAGGGTTAAGGAACAGGAACAGAATAGATCATCATCACTTGAACCCATTCGTTTCATTCCCTCTAGTGCACCTGGCATGGCCACTGTCGGAAGACAGGATACTGGGCTAGAGGGACCTTTGTGCTGATTCAGTTTGGCTGTTCTTTTGATCATAATGGTGGGACAGTTTTTTGGTGGTGGGAGGGATAGGGGATTAAGTTTGTTTTCTTGTTCATATAGTTCATATAGTTATTAAAGTGAAAGGAAGTTTTCTTAAAGCAGAGGTCTCAAACTTCCAAGGAGGGGGGGAGAGGTGGGCATCTGCAGCCCAGGCACTTCCCCAATCCAGCCCCTGAAATGTTTTGAAAAAGTTATCAGGCCTACATGGTCACAGAATGACAACAACTGATAGCAATGCATGAGGAATCAGGTAGTAAGTTCCCAGATCTGAATTAATTATAATAAAAAAGGGGTCCAGAAAAAAAAAGCCCAAATTATCTGGTGGCTTGTGATCAAATCAGTAAAGTTGGCATCACTGATATCTAGTCAATTTCACAACATGAGTTAATAGATTCAAAGCTTGCACCAATGGATGGGATGGTTCTACACACACCTCCCCCAGGACACAGGGAGGTGCCACAGAAGCGGCACGGAGCTAGCAGCCAGAAGCTGCTCTAGCCCTACTGAGCTGCTGCTGGTGGCAGTAGGGGCCCCAGATATTGTTAATTGCCTGGGGGCAGCTGTTGGGGAAGGAGAGGTGCAGGTGGAGAACACATGGAAACTTCCCCAGGTCCCTACAGAGCCCTGCCAGAAGTGGGTGCTTACTGGCTCGCTAGGAGGATTTGAGGACTGGCACAGGCCCTAAGGTAAATTGAATTTGAGACCTCTGTCTTAAAGTATCTACAAGCTAAGATATTTTGAGCCTGCCTATTCACAGAAACATGGAAGCAAGGCGAGAAATGAGATAATCACTACTTCTCAGAAAAATGACCCCTAAATAGCTGTCTTGAGTGTTGCGAGGGGGCAGGCATACAACCCTGACCTCTGGGTGTCTCAAGAAAGCCAGTGTCTCAACCAAGTATGCATTTACAATACGCGATGAAACAAGAACACAATTAAAAATCGCCACGCTGCGTTCATCGAAAGGCAAGAGAAAGGACAAGTTCGGGTTTGTGAGAAGAGAAATAAGCAAAGAGGGAGCCTAGCATGTTGTTTCATATGGAATGAGTAGCATATAACTTCTAAATTCAAAGGGAGGAAAAAAATCAGGTATGTTTGGCTTCTTTGTCAGAGGCCATTCATCACACTGTTCTCAGTGCCTCTGGCAGGGAGTCTCAAAGCTTCTTATGAAATTGACCAGGAAGTATGCCAAACTAACAAGCAGCAACATGCAGCCTCCTTCTGATGGGGAGAGAAGTGTGGTTTAAAGTATTAGCAAGAGTTAAGGAATGAGAGCACCAATGAGAAACAGGTATACACAGCAGGCAAGGACTGCCTAGGCCAGGCTCCTCAGAAGTCCTGACTAGGTAAACAACTGCAACCCCTCCATTACACCTGGAACTAGGACCTACATGTAAAAGAAGGAAGAATTCTATCAGGCAAATTGTGTAAGAGTGGAAGTGGAATGAAGCACACAAAACAATTCCACATTAGATGCCCAAAATAATAATTTATTCACATTGATTTGACATGATCAGAATCAAAACATATCTCAGCGCCACTGCTTGAGGACATACACCAGCCAAAGGGTCTAGTGTAAATAAATATTAAGACTTGGGGTAGGGAAAAGAATGGGCAGCCAATCAAGTATTAACAACAATAAATTTGCCATGCTCCAAAATGCCTTGTAAGCAGCTGCACATGCTCTGCAGCTCAGCGTGTAGACGGAGTTTGCAGTCTTCAGTGCAAATCACTTCACACCCACCTGGCTGCAATCTTCATTTCTGTCAAAACTTACTTGGCATCTCAACAATCAACCAAAGGCTGGAATCGAAAACCTTCACTCTCAGACACATGGACATCAGACTGGGCAAACAGCACCATTAACAATTTCATACCTGAACTTCAAGGGCTTTGCTTCCATTTGGAAATGGACTAAAGATTGGGTTGGGATCTGAGCACGAAGCTAAATCAGGCCCATATGCGGGGAGTGAAGATGGAAGGGTGCTAGGGGTGCAAATACACCCACCCCCCAACGGTCCTTCAAAGTCTGATTCCAGCTGGTCTGGGAAAGGCAGAGTATCTGCTCAGGATCATCCTGAATTAAAATGGCAAAAACTGGAGTAAGGGTGGGTGGGAAGAGACAAGAACACAGGTCCCTTATATGATTATTGTGCTTTCTCCCCACCTCTGAACTGTCTGAAGGTTAACCAAAAGCAGAGAGGAAGAGATCTAAAAGCAGAAGACAAAAAAGTACTTTCAGGAACAATTGTAAAAAATGGAGTAACCATGTTTTCCCACTAAGCAAAGCTGTAAAAACAGCTGGCACTACCGGGTCAGCAAACAATCTTTGAGCAACAATTCAATACAATAAGGCACTAACGACTTTCCACATTAATCACATGATTTTCACATTCAGACATTTAAAAAAAATCGCCGTACACTAAGTTTAAAAAAAAGGCAATTTTTCTATTTGTAGAAGTTCCCTTTTTTCAAATTCTCAACTACCTAAGATTTTTTTCCATCCAGGCAGCAATTAATTGGATTGAATATCTGATCAGAAATCTTGTTGGTTAAAAAGCAGCTATGAATACAAGGAAAGTGATCCAAGGCAGTAGACAGGGAAAAAAAATACAAAAAGCAGCTGAGAGGCACTAAAATAATTCAAACCTTCATTAGCAAACCTGTGGCAGATGTTGGTCACATTGCTTAATGCATAAGGGGAAGGTGCACAGCTGCAACCACGTTGGGCATAAAATAGAATTACGGGCTTTTTGTAGCTGGCTTACATCTATTTTTCTTACAAGTTATCAGACTAACAGCACTGGGGCTTGGAGTCTTCTGTACCCCCATCACATCAGTGAAGCGTGGGCAATGGCGGTGTCAGTTTTGTCACACTGCCCCACTGACGTGCTTCAACCTAACCTAGAGGCATCACATGTAAGGGTGGTGGAATAGTTCGGACTCGCTTCATTCAATGCTAATCTGCTCTGCCGAGGAAGGAGAAATGGACACCTGTCCAAAGAGAACAGCATCAATGACACCAGCTTCTTCTGGAAGTGTCACCCAAGCAGCCATCAAATGCAGAGAGCAACTACTTTGGGTCGCAACTGCTCTGACAGTCAACTAGTGAGAGACTCTGTATCCCAGTCCCAATCCTCAAAGCCAGCTAAGCTGCCACTGTTAAATCTATAAAGTTTATTGCACTCCTTGAAAATTAGTGTTAAAAAACAGGACTATCCCCCTATTCTACAATATTCAGAAATTGCAGGGTTTCCCAAGAATAGTAGTAAATAGATCAAGCATAGTGTTAGCTTGCGATGGAGAAATTATCTGTTTGTGGGAGGGTTGTTAACCAAAGATAAACTGTGTCTAGATTTAGCAAAGGTATTTTCAGGACATCTGGACAGCATAAATGCATCCAATTCCAAAGAAACTTTTTGCCCATTCTTCTAAAACAAAGCTACAAAGAACTTCAGAATATTCATGAAGTGGGCTGTACTGTTTCCCCGGCATAACAACATCTCCCAATTCACTGTGTAATCAACTCATCTTCAGTTGAAAACATCTGACACTTCCCAGGACATCCAGAAATACTCAGTAAAGGTTAAAGCAATGGAACCACAAACCAGAAGGGAAGAGAGCACTTGAATTGAAAGGTCCTAGTCGGACGACAGCCAAGCTGATTAATTCCTCTCTTGGAACAGTAGCTCCATGTTGCAGAAGGCCTCAATCCATTTGGGTATTTGGTATTCCAACAGCAAGTTCTCAAAGGCTGTTCAGCAAAACTTTGTGAGCCATTCTGAATTAGCCCAAAGTTGAAGGAGGGCGAAAGGGGTAGGAAAAAATGGAAATGTAAACCTCCCAGAATTTTGATTTCTCTCCTACTTATTGATTTTGCTTGTACAGTCCCTGGTGAAAGGAAGCAGCAGTCACCCAGTCCGCACATGCAAGCGTCTCTCCTGCAGGAGCAATCTCATTTCCTTCACTAGTAAGGGTGAGATGAACAGGATTGTTGAACTTGTCTGTGGAAAGAAACAACATGAAGGACAATTAGCACGTGTACATGCCACTGCTCTTTCTGGAGCCTATGAAAATAGCTCTTTCAGTTATTTAGAAAGGAATCAAAAAGCAAAGCAAGGCATCACCCCAGCCATAGGCCTAAGGGATAAGCAGATGGACTAGGGAACACCCATAGCCACTAACAAGCTGAGCAGCTCAGGGTGTGAATTCTGATCTCGTAGACAGAAGCACTAGGGATATTAAATTTAGATGAATTAACTAATCGAATAGTTGATGGGATTTCCATCAGCTATTCGATTAGTCGATAAGGGCGCTTCTGCCTTTGAACTCTAGCAAGAGCCCTGCCTGGATCTTGCTACAGTTCAAAAGCGGAAGCCCAGCAGGGAATTTCCCAGCTGGCCCCATGCTCCCTGCCATGCCTGAGCCTTTGAAATGTACAAGAGCCCCAAAGGGAGCACGGTGCTTCTGCTTTTGAAAAGCATTTCAAAAGCAGAAATCGCAGCAGAAGCGGCGTGAGCGGAGACTACTTCAGTCCCCGCTCACGCTGTTTCCATTGTGCCTCTACCTCCCCTGGGGGGAACCAGCTTTTAAGCCGGCTCCCCACCGCACCAGCTCCTGCTCCCTCCCTTGCTGTCTCTCTCTGATAGAGGCAGCAAGGGAGGGAGGGGAACGACTAGTCGCATCACTAGTTGACTAGTCTCTTACAACCCTAAGAAGCACTGTGAGCCCATCCTATGGAGCATTTTCATTTTGACTCCTCAGCATCTGATAAACCCAAAAGAAAAGGCTGCACAAATTCATAGCTCAACACTAGCTTCTTGGAAATTCTGGAAGCCATGTGACAACACACTTGTGCACAGTAGAGTTGGAGAGGACAGAACCTTAGTTCACAAGTTAGATGAAATTCAACCAAAATGAATGTTGCATGCCAGGATCAAGAAATTTTTAAAGGGGACAATATCAGGTGCTTCATTTTATCACTTATGAAACCCGCTTTAAAAAAATAGCTGTCTACCAATCTACCTGTGTTCATTTGGCAATAATAATTCAACATCCATTTTTTGGTTGGTGGAAGAAATATGTCCATGGGTGATTTAGATCATTTCCTGATGTGCCCCAGCCTTACCCCAGCTCTGGGAACAGCATTATCATGGATGGTTGCTGCAGAAGCATTTTGAAGTGCAAAAGTTTTTCCTTTAAGCTCTCTAAAAAACTTCCCTATTATTATTATTATTATTAATTCTAGGGTTCAGGAATACTTTTCAGCTGCACAATCAACACAGGTGAAAAAGCTAAAGAAAAGGCTTCTTACCATTAGAATGAAGAAATAGAAAACCCACATCCATCCTAGATTGTCCTGGATCAAAGAAACTAGATACTGTAAAGAAACAAAATAGGATATTTAGATCAACACTTGCACAACTGTAGAGCTAGGTTTCTGGTGTCACTCTCATTTGCCTCACTCCGAGTTTGTGGACATTTATTGAAGGGGAAAAAATTACAAATCCCCTCTCTCGGTATCTAGCTGCTCTTTGTCTGGCATAATAGAAGACATGTTGCCTTAATCCTTCTATGTAAACCCCATACAAAATAGGTGAAACAGAGTTGCCAGCCTGAAGCTTTATAGGTAATGATGTGCAGTGAGGAGTAAAACTAATTACAGCTTCAAGGGGTGACAACAATTGGACTAGACTGAACAAAGGATTTATTGCACAGAACATACAGTTACGTGAGTGACTGCAAGTATCCTCCAAAAGCTGAGCACTCTGGGAAGATACACAACTTGAGGACATGCATTTTCAGCAGCTACACAAGCATTAGTTAGTTAACCCTTTCAACACCCTGTTATGTAGGTAAGAGCCTCAAGCTTCCCCATCAATTTACCTCCAGAGCTCAATAGGCCCATACAATCACCAAGTAAAGGCAGAATTTATCCCTTCTGTGCACTGAATACAACTGTGTTTAAGGAGCTTCTGTCCTCTCTATTACTGAGCACACTGGTACATAAACAGCTCAGAGGTGCTCATAGTGCTTATCCCACAGCCAGGAATAGAAGCAAATCCAGGTATAGAAGCCATGACTGACAGAACTTTTCAGAAAGAGACCCACTTGATAATTCTCTAAGAAGTTGGCAAATGTGTGGAAAGGAGAAGATGCAAGAAGCATGGCACACTAGGAAACTGGCTTCCAAATGAGATTTGAAAGGTGGCCCTGAGGTGTTAGCAGCCTGTAAAATGTGGAAAACTAAACCAGCATTCTGTCAGAGAAAGAATGAATGTTTCATTTACCTGGGAGAACCACCTCAGTCAGTACATACCGACTTCTTTTCTGCCTACTATCAGCACTGTTGATAGTGACAGGAATATTGCCACAAGTGCCGATTAGGAACCCTAATTCCTTTGGGCAATGGGGATGTACACTCCACTCCAACATACTCCTTAGTATTCATGAAGTTACACTCTCTTGCTACGGAGCCTTTACATCACAGGAACGCTAATGGCCTTGCCCGACCCAAAAAAAATCACCACTCTGTACTTTAACGTGCATGAATTTTGCAAATGCAAAACAAGCATGTTCCCATTGCCAGTGCTTGCAATTTCTGCTTCATTAACAATCCATGGTCAATCCCTATCATGGCACACTATGTGGAAGATGAAAGCAAGTGATACCAATTTTACAGGGTGTAAAGTCTGTCCTAGATAAAGAAAAACAAACTAATCTAACATGAGAATGTGTTACAAATATTCTATGCAAAAGCAGCACCCATTTGGAAAACAAGATTCTGTAATACATTTCTCCCCTGAGTTGCTACCACACCACCTCCTTAGGTTATTTAAAAATTCAGAATAATATTACTTTTCTCATTATTTCATTCTCAAAGTTCAGTGCCACAATATTTGCATTAAACACTCTGCAGAGAAGGTTTGTTTGTTAAAAACAGTTTCCTCTGGGAATTAAAGATGAATGGAAACATTTTGGTTGGTATTGGCGGATTTAAAAAAAAAAAAACACCCTAAAAAAATTAGATATGGAGTCAAACGTGAACTATCACTGACCCTTTAAATCTCAGCCCCTCTTGGTCCCCAAATCACTCTCTCACTGAATTTTAAAGGCACATCCCTAATTGCTCAGTTTCTCTTTGGCAATCTCACCTGGCCCACTGCTGCTCCAATGCTTCCAGTTCCATCCACAATTCCTGTGACCGTTGCCAGAGCCTCACTGTTCCCTCTCACTAATTCTTGACGTCCCAGGTCAGCAGAAATCGCAGAGCTGATCATGTTAGATGGGCCCCCAATGAAAAATCCTGAAAGCACCAAAACACCATCTTCCAACCAGAGCACAGCAAGGAGACTGTCAAGGACTGGGGATGTTCTGGAGTCTCAGTCAAGGAAACAGTTTGCAGCTGGGTGTTGAATGCTTTGCTCAGAGAAGTTAAAATTACCCCTTTTACTGATAGGTATTGTGACGTGCTTTTCTGTCTCTCTGTGGGAGGAACTTGGGGGAAATACACAGAAGCCCCTACCTAAAATATGGGTGTTTGAAACCAAGGACCCTCACTCATGCTGGTGAATACAAATTCCGCATCCTGGGGGGCTGCAAGAGAAGCTCCCAGGTATGCACCTTTGGTGTCAGAGGAAGCTTATACCTTCTTGTAGTATAAAAAAATGCAAGCGACACCTGCCATCTGAGCTATTCTAGCCCGTAGCAAAATTCCTTGTTCTACACCTCCGTTTGTGAAAACTTAAAAGAATCTGCAAACACAGTAAGGCCTCCGTTGTCACTTCTCTTGCAGCCATGGCATTTAGCTGAGAAGGCAGCACACTCGAATACATTAACAAGGTTTTACAGCAACACTGTTTCTTTTCTGTCAACACCAATATAGGTGTGAAAGTGGTGATTATAGGACATACCTGTAATGGCCATGATGAATGCATTGATGGGTTTGCTGTTTGGAGAACCTGCCCGGGGACAGAGAGAGAACAGGAGCGTGATACTGAGCTCTTCTAAAGAGCTTTTCAGGCCTCAATCTCAAAGCACTTTATAAAGGAGATTAGCTTCATTGCCCTTCTCTCCTACCCAGCCCTCCTCCCACAATTTTCCAGGTGGGGAGACAGACTAAGAGAGAAGTAACTTGCCCAAAATCACCCCGTTAAAAGATTCCCTTGGTGAAGCCAGAGCACATACATGGAGATGTGAGATCTTCAACCTTATGATGTCTCACAAGTCCACTCTTTTGCTGAGTCTAGATTAATCCTAATAGTTGTCCTAAGAGACAGTTTCCAAATCTCATTGGTTGCCAGATGCTAAAGTACTTCTGTTAATGGTGTGAAGTCCAAGAGCGTCTGACTTTCATTCTTTCCTGGATCTTCTCTCTCTCTGAGGCACCTTTCCCTTCTTCTAAACTTACCCTCGCACCCCGACTTTTCCTCTTCCAAGATGTTTGCACCTTTGCATTATTGCTGTGTGGGTTGTAACTCTCACATCTTGGTAATGCTAGAAAATGCAGCCAGGGAGCATATCTAAGGTCAGCTTCCTTGCTGGTACAAAGAAACCCAAGCACTCAACCCACACCTTTCCCCATTGTTAACCAGAATCCAGACTTCTTCCCAGGTGTTACGATCTCTTGGTGCAATACAACCTTGCAGAGTGCAACTGGTTCAGAAATATACTCTGAAGGGCACTATCCTGAGCCAGAAAACGATTCAAGACAAAGAGGCTGGCAAATGAACATCTAGCCTTAAAAGGTCCCCCGATGCCCACTGTCAAGCCAAATCTACTCACGACTGTAGCCAAAGAGAGACCCAACAGCGAAAAGCAAGCTGACTGCTAGCACAGGAGCTCGCTTCTGTAGCATATCGGAAATCAAGCCTTGGACTGTCCCACCTGCAAAAAATAAAATGAAAGTTCATCATGCCCTTCCAATTAAAATATGCAACACTGAGTGCTGCGCATACTGAATTTTGTTATCTTGTTTTCTTGCTACCTCTGGTACCTCGGTAAAAGAGGACAAAGCTCTCACTGTCTCAGACAGTGAAGGCAATATGAAGTCAGGATACCCAGGAGACACAAGCGAGGAATGTAGCTTTCCCACCAATTACTACCTCTTGCTCCCTCTGCACGTAGCCAGTCAGTGCTTCTGTTTGCTCCTTTCCCTATGCACCCTTCCCACAGTCTCATTCAGATCTGCGCAGTGTAACACATGGTGGCGGTCTCCTATAGTTGCCTACTGTTCCTATTAATGGCTCTGCTCCACTGGTGGGTGCACTAGCAGAGATCTGACACTAGGCACCTGACTGACACTTAACATTCTGTTGTCTAACCCTGCTCCAAGTAGATACAGACAACACAGCCGTTACAATGCTGGCACGTTGTCTACACTAGCGTGTCCATCACCGCAATCACCAGTGGAACTGCACTACTGGTAATGAATCAGGAAATAATCCTAGTATAAACAAGGCCACTGAGGCAGCAAAGCAGCCCCAGAACAGGAGTGACTAGCAGGAAAGCACAGTGGACTACTTACCCAGCCAAGAAACAGCGAACATGGGACAGCAGAGCTCTAGCCATAAAGAGAGACTTGCTTTGTTCTGGCTAGGAGACGCCAGTTCCGATTTTACCACCGGCATAAACAAGCACAACTACACTTGGACAATGGAGTTGTGCCTGCTCGCCCCATTGCTCAACTGAGCCCTTTGTTTTCTGTGGGAATGGTTGCTAGGGCACAGTGTACCCTTCACCCAGGACTGCCCTCTCGCTCAAAGATTCTGGTGGGAAGTAGGACAGGTAACCTGGGAGATAGCTGTGTGAGTGGGGTACTGAAGCGTTTATAGCAAATGAAGAAACACTCTTATTGCTGATAGTGTACAGAAATAAGGCAGTGTCCCTTTAAACAGCTGCCTCTCTAGTGGTTCACACTGAGTCATACATTTTATTAGGCAGCCAGAGTAGCAGTGTGTGTAACCAGGCCATGAAGGCAGGACACATGCAGTAAACTGTTATTTAGACCCCACTGGCCTCAGGGAGTTCCTTCACACTACCCATGGTGCGTAACGAGCAAAAGACCCAAGAGCTGGGCAACCAAAGAAAGAAGTTGTTTGCCTTCTGCACCCACCTATGATTCCTCCCACATCATACCAAATCGAAAGCTGGTCAGCTTCAGCCTCCTTCCATCCAAAGTTGTTGCTGAGGTAGAACGGCAGCCAGAAGAAGAAGGAGTAATTCACTAGTTTCAAGCAGGCATAGGCCAAGGAATACTAAGACAAAAATAGCAAACCAGCAAGCAGTTAGAAGAAACACAAGCAGCAATTCTTCCTCCTTCCAACAAGCCCTCAGCTGAAGCTCCCATGGTAAGTGTGTCTGTCATGAGAATGCAACACCAGGAAAGCCCAACGCTAAACAAAAGGACAAATAGGGAGGGAGTTTGGGGGGGGGGGGAGGGAAGAGAAGAGGAATCAACCAGGCATGTCTATTTTTAGTCTTCTTTTCATTGGCCACAATGGGTTGAATTCTTCCAGCAGCTTCACGTGAAGCATAAGCTTCTGAAGAGGAAAACAAATCAGTGCATCTCCTAGATCGGAGGAAGTTAACCATGTGATACTAAGCAAGCCAGGGGCTCTTAACGGTTTGTGCATTACATCGAGAAAAGTTCTAATGCTTACATAGTCTATCAGCATCACTGTGGCCTATGTACACCAAGCACCTCCAAAAAACTCCTCATAATACCCAAACATTTGTATCCCAGAGCTCAAGACACAAGCTTTGGACATGCTTGAAAGAGCACCACTTTTCCCCGTAACTGTGACAGCCTGTGGAAGGATCTTGCTATTCTTCTGGGGTGTAAACCTGCCTTCGCCTGTAGAAGACGGCTCTCTCAATGGAAACGACTCCCCTGTGGCAGCTCAGAGCCCAGGTTCAGGAGCTTTCAGGGCAAGTGAAGGATTGGCTTCTTTTGTCAGGACTTGACTGACCATCACTGTCGCAGTAGAAGGAAGCTATGTTGGCAGAGTTACAAAGCAGTGGCAAGTGCTGTAGCTTTTTAAGGTACCCAAGAGGATAGAGTGCACATGTGCAATTTTCTGTTTGTTTTAATATGGTAAGAGACGTAGGTGATACAGTGATTAGTGCCAAAGACATTTCAATATAAAATAAATGCCTCCGAACACACGGATTTCTTCAGCAGGCATCTGATTTGCAAGCTGAACAGTGGAGGCTTGCCTTCTGGCTCATAGGGCCCAACCCTAGCTGCCTCACATGCAGGATTCCCTCTGAAGTCACCAAGAGTCTTGCAGGTAGAGCAGGAGAAGGCCTTACTGAGCCTGTTGCTTATAACAAAGCACTTCAGAATGGTCAACCAGATGGTCTGAGAAATTAGCAATTTTAACCCTCAGGGTATGTCTACATTGCATTCCTCTTTGGAAAGAGGAATGCAAATGCAGCCAAGTGAAATTGCAAATGAAGCGCGGATTTGAATTTCCCGTGCTTCAGTTGCATAATGACATCCAGGTGCTTTTTCGAAATACCCTATTTCGAAAAACCCCCCGCTGTTTAGGCAGGGTTATTTCAAGAAAAAACCCTTGTTTTGAAATAACCTTTACTCCTTAAAAAATGAGGTTTAAGGGTTATTTCAAAAGAAGGGATTTTTCCTCAAAATACCCTCTTTTAAAAGAAAAAAAAATGCAGTCTAGATGAGGTTATTTCGAAAAAGCGCCCAGATGCCATTATGCAAATGAAGAGCGGGAAATTCAAATCCACGCTTCATTTGCAATTTTGCTCGGCTGCATTTGCATTCCTCTCTCGAAAGAGGAATGCAGCGTAGACATACCCTTAGAAGACCTGAGAAGACTGTCAATATAAAGCCAGTTCCACTGCACTTGTTCAGCTGGAGAACGGGAAAAACTGAGAAAAAGCAGAATGGGAATATAATTGTTTTGTTCTACGTTTTATGCATCTCTTGGAAGTTATCCTTGGGGATTCAGCGATAGAAATTCACTTTCCAGCCTCACATCCAAGGTGCTCACAAGGCCCCAGTAGTAGAATACAGGATAAAGAAATCGATTTGATCTTCCAGTTCTTTGCCCTGCCTGCACAGAATTGTTCCTCCAGTGTGTCTGTTAGCTCTCTGATCAACCTACTTTTCCAGGGCTCCCATTAATTCTTTGGGGAGTTATTCCACTTTCAGGACATTTTTCTCTAATATTTAGCTTCCATTTCCTTCACCATTTTATCCCATTTCCCCTCTGCCCAAAATAGTCCTCTCTCTGCACGGCCTTTACACAGCTCAAGGTGGTTATATTCCTCTTACATGTATACAGCTTGGTGAAGTGATGAGTAATTCCTCGGTGACAGGGGTGTCCGACGGTCCACCACCCAGCTTCATGGCAGCCTTGCTCTCACTCTTGCCTTTAGGTGCTACCATACAGGCAGTGTTAGCAACCCCACTTTTTATAAAAGTCACCAAACAGGCCTCAGTAGAAAACTTGTCTTCAGTTGTTTATAATTGTGCCAAAACTTTAACACAGGGAGGGCAGCTTTCCATGCCAGGTGTGCCCTTCAGGTAAGTCGAGCTTTGTCTTTAAGTTTAAGCCAAAATTGTTCAGCCATTTCTGAGAACAAGGCTGTTTTGCCCATTGTCACATGAGGAGGTTCCTTCACCCTAGATTCCTGTTTGCAAACAGTCCGCACACAGAGCTCGTGGCAAGTCCAACAGAAAGAGCTGTAAATAGAACAAGTCCCCATAGCTCAGGTCCATACATTCTCTCTAGGCACAGGAAGAGATCCTGGGCTTCTCTGGCCCTTTCATCTTACCCCTCCCCTCTTTCTGTCTGGCTTTTAGCTGTCCCCAGCTGGAGTGCTGAGCCACCTGGTTAATCATTCAGTCCTTAACCAATTATCTCCCTAATTTGCCCCATGTGGGGATGCTTACCAAATGCCCCAATAGCAAGTCAGCCTAAGGCTCCTCACACTCTATCCTTCCCATGTTAAAAACAATTTCTGGCAACAATTCCTATGCCAAGCTCCAATGGGGGAGGGGGGTTACTAGAAAAGGAAGTTGATGTTTCACAGGGGGTGACATTTGTGTCAGCGATGGGCCTCTTGCTATTCCTGTGAATATCTGCCAAGTTATAAGCCTCTGGGGGGAAGTCCATATTTGTACATGCCTTTCAATGATAGCAGCTAATAAGCATGCTCCAGCGCCCCCAGCAGGTCCAAGCTTTAATCAGACTACTCATGTGCCATGGGAACATGCTGCATCTCCTCACAACTCCTATGTGTGAGTGGATTGTGCACACTGCATCCCAGAATCAGAGACAAAAAGCCAGGCTTTCCTGACAGTTTTAGCTGGTTTGGGTTAGGGCTGGGCACCAGGACAGGGCAGGAAGCCGGTCTCTTTTGTGCTCTCAATAATCACACTGCCGGCACCAACGCAGCATGGAGGAGCAAGCTGCCTAACTCAAGTGCACAGGGGACAAGAACTGGACCTGTAAAAGGAAAGCAGCAGAATGGGACAAGGAGGGGGAAGAGAGAAAAACCTGTGGGACAGGAGTACTGGCTGGACATGGAGCCAGGTAGCTAGAGGGCATGGGGTGGAAGATAAGCTGGGACTGCTTGAGGAAAGAGACTGGGAGACATTTGGGTGGGGTTGGGGGTGGTATATTAAGGCCAAATCGACACTAGAATTTTATATCTGTACAGCTACATTGCTCAGGATGTGAAAAATCCACCGCCCCTCCTCCCGACAGATATCTCCACAGTGATTTCATCCCTGGCACAGACAGCACTAGGTAGAGAAGAATTTTTCAGTAGACCTAGCTATGGCCTCTTGGCGAGATGGATTATCTCCTGTTAGTGTAGGTAATGTCTACATGGAAGCACTGAAGTTGTGCTATTGTAGTTTTAAGTGTAGACAAACCCAGAGACTGGATGAGGCACTAAGAGGAGGGATGCAGACTGGGCCTGGCTGGACAAAGATAGGGAACTGTAGTGTAAGGTAGGGGAGAAACAGCAAGATGGATTTGACAAGCAGACAGGGTCCAGGGCAGAAATTGAGCTAGAGACTAGCACAGCAAGAAGGGCAAGGAATGGTGGAATTGCTGGAAGCCAGGGGGAGGGGGGCAGGGAGGGAGAGAGACTGGACAAGGATACCAAGCTATAGACGAGAGAGTGGGTCTAGCTGGGCAAGGAGACTGGGTTGGTGGCAGCGGGGGAAAAGAGAAATGAGACCCCAGACAAGGAGTCCAGCTCTGGCTGGGTATGAGTGGATGGGAAAGCAAATAGGGACTGGGACAAGGAGCAAGGACTAGATAAGAGAAACAACTAGGACAGATTGAGGTGGAAGGAGCAGAAGGGTACGTGACCACTAGAACACTCCCTTCCAGAACCTGGAAAGGAACCCAGGACAGACCACACCATTCCTCTGCTGAAATGTAAATATTTGTGAAATCCCCCAGCAAAGTGTATGTCAGGCTGTTGGTCCACACAGAGGAAGACAAAACCTACTCTTGTTACCAGTTACTCAGCTCAAGTGGCTAAGATCTGGGCAGTGCATCTAACAGTTCCACTCCTGCTCCTTAGCTATGTGCATGTCAATATGCTGCCACCTGATAGATTTGTTTTTTGAATTTGCTTTTATTAAAAGCCTAGGAAATTACTGTCTTAAAAGAACACTAAGGATGCAAGATGAAGGGTCAGATTGGCAGACACAAAGAGCACTCTCCACTACACCTGGAGCCTGTGGTTTGAATTTAAACGCTAAGCATTCTGAAATAAAAAACAACCCCCCTTTGGAATCTGAAATTGGGTATCCAGAATTCGTGAGCACTTTTGACCTCAATCTCTGTGCTGCAGTTCCGTGATGGTAAGATGAGGATAATACCACCACTCATCGCATACAGTTGTTCTGAACATAAAATTACTATTTGTGAAGTGCTCAGGTACCGTAGTGATGAGCGCCACAGGGAAGCCCTTGAGGAAATTAATAATTTTGTATTCACAGCAGAGTTTGATTAGTGTGAAGTAAATAAGGCCTGGGGCCAAACTCTGAACAACAAGAATAAAACAAAATATCAAATAGCTGCTCATAAACTGAGCACCATCCATCCTGTGCACTGAATGACTCAAGTGTCTCATGAGGAAAAAAGTACAATCATGTAAGTAAAGACTACCATAATGAATACACTCACGGACAATATTGACAACTCCAGAACTTCGACATGTATGACTCAGAGCCCTCAAAAATCATGACCAAGATAGATTAGCATGGTTTTTGATTGGTCTTGATTTTTGTACTCCTCCCACCATGTGCGTTCATTCATGTGTGTTATGGAGAAAGGTAATTTTGGCTCCCACTACAGGACCTCTCGTTGGTTGCCTGATGGTGAGGCAGTCCCATTTTTTCTTCAAGCCCAAAATTCTAATTAATCCTGTGTCCTCCTCACTTCCATTTCTGCCCACCCGGCCATCTGCGATTGCAGTCAATTCTAGCTGCATAGATAATCTTAATCCTGGCATTTCCTAACTGTTAAGTGCTTGATTTTGCAACCTTAACAATGTTCTTAACACAGTTTGGGTGTGTGGTAATATAAATCATTGTCACAAACAACAGTGTCAAGACCTTACCAGTAGAACTCCTGGTAGACAACAAGCTTGGAAAAAGCCAATGGCCTTGGGCTGGTTGCTAGTATCAGCTGCCTGAATAGTGTAATTTTGATCATCCTCATCCTCCTCATTGCTGCTGATTAAGGGTTTGTTTGCATCTTCTTCAGCACTGCCAGTCTGGTCTTCTCCAAGCTCAGGGAGGCCTACAACACATGAGAGCATACAATAGTAACAAAGGTCATCACCCTCCTCTCCCCTCACAACCCACGCTCACTTCTTTGAAGTACTTCTCCCTTCTGGCACCCCACTTGCTCTCCCATACCTCCATCCTCCTGTGGCTTAGAAACTCTTCTAGATGGTGTTCTGCAGAGTCGCCCGTTTCTACCCCTTGTCTTCTAGCGCTCTTGAAAGTATTCTGTCTGATCCTGGCGTCGGCTTTGTCTGTTCTGAGTGTCTGGCCATTAGTTGGAAGACACAACAAATTAGTGCATTTCCCCCTATTTGATAGCTAGGCTCCCTGTGCGTGGGTCTTGCCCACATCACCTTGGCCAGTATTTGAACATGGATGTTCTCACTGTACCAATAGTAGTTTGGATAGATGAACTAACAAGAAGACTATGTATGATGCATTTGCTAGAAGCTATTCTAAGCTGTCTGACCTGGAGGATATCCTTATACACATTCCAGCACTTCAACAGTAACCTCCTCTGTAACCTCCCCAAAACACTTGGGAGACACCATCATGTCCCTGACAATGCCCTAAAGATCTCTTTTCTACTCACACTAGAGATTCTGCCTTTCCCTCTTCTCAGATACAGACTTTGCTCCCTTCAGAGCCCATACGCTACTCCTGAATCAGCTCCCAGTTTTGTAAACCCAAGGCATTCTTTCCCTTCATGGGATGGAGCAGATTCTGAACCTACTGCTCAACATAATTTACTTCCATGGTAGCCACTTTCAGATTCATCTAGTAACTCTTGGAAAAAACATCTTGTTTCCACAGAAGGGACACTTGGCAACTGAGTGCATTCTAAGGAATATGGTTTGCACACTAGCTGGATCCCTCTTCGACACTCTGTCCAAGTGAATAATGTTGTCTGCATCTAGTGTGTTGCAAGCCAGGAAAATGTTCACTCACACGGCCATTATTAGGCTATGAGGCAAGTTTAAAACTATATCAGTGAGGTGAACTTATGGCAGCAGAAGCTATGGTTTTGATGTGGTGTGGCAATGTTAACCACACGGAGAAGCTGAAACCTGCTTGCCTATTAGCGTTCAAGTGACATGGACCTCTTACTTACCCACTTCCTTTGGGGAAATCAGAAGTCCAAAGAAGACAATGACCCCTCCAGCAAACTGCACTGATGCTGTCACCAGGAAGGCATACTGGAGAGGAGAGAGAATAAAAGCAATGTTTTCACATTGCTCTTGGACATCTCATTCTAAATTAAACATTTGTCCCTATTTTTCCAACCGCTTTTCAGTCACACAGGCGATGCAATGAGACACGCAATTTCTCTGTGCCTCAACATTGTGTGAAAATAAGCCATACCAACACAACTACCTCCATAAGCCTAGAAACATGCCCCTACCTCTGGAATAGCCTCTATCCGTTTCACCTCGCTGGAGGGGGAGCACTGGAATGGAGTACATGGTGGCGAGGAAGGAGATTAACCACTTCACACCAGATTATATTCACTTTCCTTTTAAGCAGGCAGAAAAAGAACATTGTGTCTTACAGAAATGGCCACAGCTGGCACTTCCCTGCTCTTTGTGGTTAGAAGGCAGAATACATACAGGCATCTACCATTCAGAAGGTTGAACCCTAATGAAAGTTCCTGGAGATTAGCTCTCTGTGGGCAGACAGGAATAAATTAAAATATTAAGCTATGGTACCTGTACAATACTTTTCAAGTTTGTGCAATAAAGACCTTCAGGCACCTAAGAAGAGCTCATGAACATTTTTCCGTTCACAATCTGCTGCTTTTAGGTTTTCCATCAGAGTAAATATTGGAGATGTGTGCATTTAATCCCTGAATATTGCCTCATTCTCAGGTCATTAACTATATAATATTGCCCTGCAAATAGGGATGTGAATGACTAGTCACTCCCCTGCCTTGATGCCTCTATCAGAAAGAGGCAGCAAGTGGGAGAGGGAGGGAAGAGAAGGGGGTGCTTCAAAGTGGAAGCGCCGCGTGCAGCCTGGGGCCAGCTGGGAGTCCCCCACTGGTCCTGCAGCACTTTTGCCTTTGAAGTGTAGCAATAGCCCTGGGGCTGTTGCTACACTTCAAAGGTGGAGGCGCTCTTATTGGCTAATTGAATTGTCAATGCAAATTTTACATCCATATCTACAAGGGACAGGAATGGGATTAGGGCAGGAGAGCAAGGAGAGTCTGTCCTAAAATTCAGGTTGTATTGTCCAAAAGATGAAAACTGGAATAGCAGTCAGTGCACCTGGCCACGCTGGAGAAGCCCCGCTGGTAGGAGGAGAGAGAGAAGACTGCCTACAGGGGGGGTCTTTGTGAAAGGCCCTTGACTTTGGAGCTTTTCTCCCCAAACTTGGTCCAGCTCAGCTCATTTATGACCTTTAAGTCATGACACAAAGTCCTCTGGCTTTTGGTGATAAGATGGGTTTAACGTCTTCTCTTTGTTGCTTGGCCATTGCTGGGCATAGACGTATGGTAGATCAAGTCATAACTTATAATACTTGTATATTTTGGTACTGTCGAGAGCACTTCAAGCCAGGGATAGAAACTCTTTCAACCTGTATAATTCAAAAATCAATACATACATCTACCCAAAGGAACTATTTTTACCCAAGTGATGGTTTGCAGTCAGGGAAGGACTTTTGTTTTTAATTGCAATACTACTGTTCTGAAGTACCAAATTGCACCTGCTCGAGCCAGGCAGGCATAGCTCACAGGGATGTCATAAAGGAGGCCCTCTTTCTTAGACTCTGCTAAAAATCTTACCAGATGCTCACTGAACACAGTCAGATTGATCTTCTCACTGATTATTTTCATATCCCATCCCCTCAAAGAGAAGGAAAGCACAAACTCCACTGTGAGAACGACATTTCAAATTTTAGCCTATTTTGACCTAGCTTCTTTTTAAAAGATATCTTAATGCTAGTAAGGTGCACATTTCTATCTAACATGGCTTCACTTCTATCACTATTCTTAATGTTAGTAGGAAGGGAATTTTTCACTCATCCATAACACAGACACAGCTGAAGGTATTTTACTTGACCTTCCAGAAAGTATTTCCCTTCAGGAGGAAGCCCAGAACGGACAATTTCAGCCCAAAAGATGGCTGTTTTGAGAAGTTGAAAATAGCTGAAAGTAGGTAGTTATAATGAAAACAGTTTTGCTGACAATCAGATCATAATTTGGGTATTTTTCCATAAGAATCCATAGTAATTGCTAATCTTTGTTAAATGCTCCCCAAAGCAGTGGCATGCCCATATCCATAAGCTAATAGACGTCCAGGCCGGATGTTGCTGTTAAGCAGTGGTGCATCAGCCAACTGATGTGCAGCATTCAATCTCTCCAAAATGGGTAAGTTTTAAAGGAACACAGCCCTTCCAAGGTCATGCAATATCCCATACTTTCTAGGGTTAAGAAGGAAAGGGGAGGTTCACTATGCTCTGTCTTCCACATATCACTACAGAGATAGAGGGAGCAGCCTTTCCCCCATAGACCAGGAAAAGAAAAACACAGATAATTTATCTGCTCTTCTGGTCTTGGTTATGCATAACTCCAAGTTCAATAGCAAATACTCACCTCATAACCATACTGCAGAACACAGGAGGCGAGGAATGCTCCCAAAATGTTCCCCACGGACGCACAGGCACTCCAGAGTCCAAACACAAAACCCCTCCTGAGAGAATAGAGCAAAATGGAAGGGGAAAAGGGGTAGGAGAAGAGACAGAACTGGCTTTAATTGACCTGCAATAATACTAAATTCTCCACTCCCTCCCCACGCAGAAGCAGCTTCGTTTAAAATAAAATATGCTGTAAAATAATCAGCTCATGGTTGTCAAGTCTATCTATCATGTCTCATTCTGTTACACTTAAGTCAAACTAAGGTATAAGTCAGTGGTGTCACAACACCAGCCCAGATCCAGTCCACAGGACACCAGGTGCATTTATCCATGTAATTCTGAGAAATTCTGATTCTACAGCAGGTCACACCCTTATGAATGTGACCTGCTGTTGCCTTGCTTTAGGTGATCTGAAACAACCTTCAGAGATGTCTGAAACCTTTAAAATCTAACGACAACACTTTATGGGGACAGATTTTCCAATAACCTAGCTCTGCGGTTGTCAGGTATGCTCACAGTTACTACCATCGTGTGTTCAAACCAAGTTTTATATACGTCAATAGCTAAATCAACAAAGAACCAAAAACATACTCTGACTCAAAATGAAAAACAAGTGTTCCTGTAGCACCTTAGAGACTAACAAATACATATATACAATCAGATGAGCAGAATGAGGAAGTGGGTTTTACCCACTGAAGCTCATGATACTATTTATATATGTTTGGTAGTCTCTAAAGTGCTACAGGACCACTACTTGTTTTTAAAGTTGCCGACTAACACAGCTACCCCCTCTGATACACCAAAACGAAAACTATTTTATTAGTGTTAAATCTGTTATATAGTGAATAAATTACTGTATTTCATATATGACAAGAGGAGTTAATTATTTATGTCATTTGCTGCTTGTCAATGCTTAGGTTACAATAGGTAAGTACACAGTTATCAGTTGGCAAGCATAACAGGATTTGCCAGAGAATTGTTTTGATGTGGCAATTTCAGCTGAGACCACCATTCTGCATCACAGATAAGGTACCAAACCAAGGAGAAATATAAAGTACCCGGCTTTTCCAAACCAGTTGCCCATGATGGCAACAACACAGGGCCAGCCAGTGGACTGCAACAAGCCATTCACAACCCATAGGCAGGAGTAGAACCATTTGTTGTAGAAATGTAGCCATTCCGTGAGAGTGCCAAAGACAAACTCCTGTGGGAAAAGAGAGGAAAACTGAGGCTGCTACAAATCTTTCAGGCTGAACAGGCATGTCAATGGAATATTGAAAAGGGGAGGAGGGAGAAGGAAGTGGCTGAATGCGTATGTTTTACATTTTATTCAAATGACAGCATCTCCAACAACTCAGTGTTCCTAACACTGTGCTCAGGCAACTTATCCAAAATAACTATCCCACAGCTTAACAGCAAGCCCGTTATTTCAAAATATAAATGGGCTCGCTACTCTGACATCCCTGTAAACCTCATTCCACAAGAAGTAAAGGATGTTTCGGAATAGTGGGTTATTTCAAAATTATGAAATTAGCTATTTTGAAATTGACTCGAAATAAGCTACATAATGTGTATAGCTCAAATTGCATAGCTTAGTTCGAGCTACACATACAGTGTAGATACATCCTTATAGTCAGAAAGCTTTTCCTAATATCTAACCTAAATCCTATACAGTAAGCTGATTACTTCTTGTCCTGCCATCAGTGAATATGAAGGGAAAAAATACCAATCACTGTCCTCTTTATAATTATTTTTTAACATATCTGAAGATTTAACAGCCCCTCCCAGACCTCATAGTCTTCTCTTCTCTAGATTAAGGTGAGGTCTGGACCTAAATCTTAGGTCCATCTAACAATGCTGCTCATGGATGTGAAAAATTCAGATCTGAGACACTCAGGGTACGTCTAGACTACATGCCTCTGGCGACAGAGGCATGTAGATTAGGCTACCCGACAGAGTAAAATGAAGCGGCGATTTAAATAATCGCCGCTTCATTTAAATTTACATGGCTGCCGCGTTGAGCCGACAAACAGCTGATCAGCTGTTTGTCGGCTCAGCGCGGCAGCCATGTAAATTTAAATGAAGCGGCGATTATTTAAATCGCCGCTTCATTTTACTCTGTCGGGTAGCCTAATCTACATGCCTCTGTCGCCAGAGGCATGTAGTCTAGACGTACCCTCAGTTAAGATGACATACAGTGTTGAAATCACAAGGTAACCACATGAGAAATGAATGTTGCCTTTGCCCCTAGGGCAGTGTTTCTTAAACTGTGTTGGCGGGGTGCCGCAGAGAACAACAGAGTTCAAAATGGCTGACCTTAAAGGGGCAGGCAACCTTTCCCCCCCAACCCTTTTTTTTGGCTCAACAAAAAGTCCTTGGTGTTTCTCATAAAAAAATATTGTTTGGTGTTCCTCCATCTTAAGAAGTTTAAGAAACACCACATTAGGTCAATGGAAAAATTCTTCTGCCAACCTCGTGGGAGCAGATTAAGTACAGCGATGGAAAAAACTGTAACAAGTGTCTACATTACAACAGTATAGCTGCTGTTGTAGAGCTTGTAGTGTAGACATACCCTAAACATGAAGAAAGGTTGAAACAACTGGGCATAAGTCATGTTTTCTACACCTCTTCTGTTGCTCCCTCTGGACAGTGAGCCAGTCTGACAATGAACCATTGATAACTATTCTTTGAATATGATTTTTTTTCAACCAGTTGTGCATCCATCTTACGATAATTTAATCAAGTCCATATTTCCCTAATTTGCTTATAAGAAGGTCATGTGGGACCGTGACAGAAATGTTAGCGCTAATCTACATTATCCAGGATAAACAAAGCATGCTTTGTGATGCATAAATCAAGTATACAGTATGCGTTTTACCCATATTTGCAAAATGCAATAATTCACCAATAAGTCTCCCAGTCATTGGGATGAATGAAGGTAATGGGCATATGCATATCCATGCAATGTTAATGAATAAGAACCAAACCAGATAAAATGCAGTCAATGTTTATCCATGGAAGCTTGAAACTGAAGTCTTTCCTTATAGACATTTCCTTGAGATTTTTTTCACCCACCACCAGATGCAAAAATCAAGTAACTTAACACTAGTATATTAGTGTTTTCTTTTAAGATGAAAAATGATTTGTTTGGAAGGAAAGTAATTGTAAAATGTCATATGGGTTTGGAAAACAGTGCTGACACACAGAAAAGAGACTGAAGAAGAGAATGTGTAGGCCCAGATTTGAGTCCCTCATACTCTCTTCAAGTCTTAGTAGGTCACACTCACGTTTGAAGAAAGACTCCGCTTTCCTTTCACAAATGCATACTGTCACAAAGGCTTTACAGGGGTTAGGGGTACTTTTGTGTAGACCTCAAACTCTGGCTATTTTATGTAATGATCAATCTGGCTCTATGCCAAATACCAGAAACAACTATTTGTCAGGAAGCTCCAAAAACAAAAACGATCTAAATAAAGGCATTCTGAACATCTTAGCATGATACTCTCCAGATAACACCACTTAGGAAGAACTGGGGTTAAGGCAAATATTATCACTATGCCAACCATTGCACCCACAGACGAAGGTCAGATAAATTCTGCCACTCTAAACAAAAACAAGAGCCAAGTGTTCCAGAGGGGAGGAACATTTCTAAATCACAGTAATCACTGCTCACCAAAGACAAATTTTTCAACTTACCACTAAAGCAGACGAGCACATGCCAAAAGACAAGACCCATCGTAAATTCAGACGATCCCCAACTATGCCACTGACAAAGAGACCCTAAGAACACAGATGAGTATGTTAAGCATAGCCACATAGTTTACATTTGTTTTCAAAACAATTTGTAAGAAGAGTTAAAGGAATGCTGGGACAAATGGACAAAAACACGTGTAGCAGTCAAAACTGACTCCAAAATCAAGTGTGTAGAAGTTTGGTGGTAGTATTTGTTTTTACAAAATCTAATACAAACAGAAGTGTCTCCATGCACTTGTGCACCTGAAATTTCAATGACAATAACTTTGTTTTGACAGAGGCTCTCCTCCAACACTTGCAATCCAAACATGGCAGCATTGTGGTAATGCACAACATCACCCCTGTATCTTTTTTCAGGAGTCTGATTTGTCTTGTGTAATCCCAAGTGTCACATCGCTTAAAAACTACTTGCTTACAAAATCAGATTTAAAAATACAGAAGTGTCACAGCACACTATTAATGAAAAATTGCTTGTGGCTCATTTTTACTGTACAATTATAAAAATAAACCAGTTAGAATCTAACTTGTGCTTAAGTTTCAGTGCAGAGCAGTGTGAACGTGTCATTGAAATTTTAGTATAAAATTGTATTGGTACAGACTTCACTAGTGCTCTTTGTGTCATCTGTTGTAAAACTAGGCAAATATCTAGATGAGTTAATGGGTCCCTTAGAAAACATGAATCTCTGGTTGAGAAACACTGCACTAGATCCAGAAAGTGGCACTGATTAGACCAGTGGTTCCCAACCCTTTTTACACTGGGGACCAGCAAACCCACTCTCAAACTTTTGGCAGACCAGCAACATTTTATTTGCATATTCATTATGCAAACAATGAATATGCAATAGAATGTTATTGGTCCACCAAAAGCCCCAGCCTCCAGAGCCCTCCCCCTCCCCCGAGCCAGTCCTAACTCCTAGAGCCCCCCCACCCCTCCACAACCCCCCAGCGCCAGCCACTGACCTAAAAGTCTCCTTCTCCCAACCCCCCCAGTGCCAGACTCCCGCCCTCAGAGCCCACCAGTGCCGGCCCCCAACCCAAGTACCTCAGTGCCAGCCCCCCCCTTAGAGCGTCCCACCACCAGATCCCCCAGTGCCAGCATCCTGTTTCCAAAGCCCCCCCCCCCGTACCAGCCCCCTGTGCCCAATATTAGACATGTCCCTAGAGGGCCCCAGTGCCAGCCCTGCCCCCGTAGCCCACCCACTGTTAGTCTCAACCCCAGTGCCAGCTCCCCACCCTGGATGTCCGTGCCTCCCAGTGCCAGCCCCCCACCTCTTAGTGACCCCCTCCACCCACTAACCCGATGCCCAGAGCCCCCAGTGCCTTCTCCGCCCCCCTCACCTAGCCCTGAGCTCCCTCCCAGCCACCAGCTAAGCACTGCTGCCTGGCTTGCAGCTACTCAAAGGTTGCCATGCCGAGCACCACGCAGCCCTGCCGCCATGCAGCAAACCACTCTTCCACGGCTGGGAGGAGCCCCCGCCACGACCAGTGCTGGTTGGCTGCGAGGCAGGGCAGGACATCTCTCTCCCAATAGCCAGGCGGGAGGGGCAGGCGCTGGGCAGTGTATCCCAGCCCCAACTCCCAGAGTGCCAGGCTATGGACTGGTGGTTGGGAACTGATGTATTAGACTATGAAAAAAAGTGAAATTTATAGTCTATTTTTGGTGTTTAACCATGGATAAATCCAAAGCAAACAGAACAATGAAAACTTAATTAACCTTTAATTACTTGTGTTATCAGTAGCACTATGGATTAAGAAATTTGCATAAGTTTAGAAACAGGACATAAAAGGATGCTGTCAGGTTAAGAAAAACCCATCCACTTCAGAGTGATACGAGTGTCCCAAACAGCAAGGGAAATTGTATCAGTAAATATTTTACTTTAATACAGGTTCCCTTTCCCCCAAATTCCTTTCAAGCCTCCTGTGGTACAAACTGCCACGCACTAGGAGACACTCCACCATGTACCATATGCTGATGTCACACCTACTGCTACAGGAGACTTCGGTAAGGAGCCCAAGTTTAGGGAGATGGCCAGTGTGTGCCTTTTGCAGAGTGTTACCCTGCAAGGTGCAAAACCACTTGAAAAAGCTTCCCTAAGTTTGGGCAACATATACCTGGGCCCAGCAACATCTCACCTCAAATATTTTAGCCCAGGGATAGGGAACCTTTTTTGGGTCAGGGGTCACTGAACCACAGAAAGTGCACAAGGCATTTTTTTGATCCCATGACCCTTCTCCCCAAATTCCTCTACTATCTGGCTCCTTGCTGTCAAACTTCTGTGGTGGGTGTAGGGATGTCAGCACCTAGTCAACTATCCGATAAGCACAAGCATCCTATCAGAGGCAGAGGAGAAGGGAGGAGCAGGAGATGGTGCTGCTGGGGCGGGCAGGGGGAAGAGCCATCTTAAAAGCTGCTTCCCCACAGCACCATATCTGCAGGGGGGCAGAAGCATAGTGGGGGACCAGGCACAAACCAGGAATCAGCTGATTCCTGGTTCGCGCCGGGTCCCAGATACCACGCTTCTGCTTTTTAAATGCATCTAAAAAGCGGAGCTACAGTGGGGTTCGCTCCTGGGAGCAACTCCACTGCCACTCTGCAGTTGCCCCCTTATTGACTAATCGATTAGTTGGTAAAACACAATTTAACATCCCTAAGTGGATGTGACAAACTGTTAGAGCATAGCCCTGGAGACAATACTGGATTCTAGGTGACCTGAAAGAGGTTGTTGGCGGGACAGGGAAGGTACATTTAAAGCAGATTATATGCTGCCTTTTAGCACCGCTATTTGGGGCATGCAAATCTTAAACCTGTTTGAAGACCCCTTAAAAGATGCAACTTACCTGGTGTGGAGTGATGGAAGCCCAAGAGACTCTGTTCACTTCCCAAATCCCAATTTTTAGCTAGGCCCAGAGAGCAGATCCCATCCCCTTCATGCTCACCATCCTACCTACCCCAACTTTGGCAGCTCTGATTAAATTTTACTCACCACAGCATAGGAAAAGAGAAAGATAGTGTCCAATGTCCCCAGGAAAAGAGTGGCATCTTCTGCATTGGGAAATAAATGGCTGCTGTTCCAGAGCTACAAAGGGAAACAATTGCATTGTGAGTCTTCTAGAGAGGCAGATCTCATCCTACCATACACAAGAAACCCCTGGGCCCAGTAACATCGCACCTCCGAAATATTTTAGCCTAGTGATAGGGAACCTTTTTGGGGTCAAGGAGCACTGAACCACAGAAAGATTAGTGGGGGGGCCACACACAAGAGATGTGGCCCCCAACTTAGAAGGAGAAAAACACTCTCCACATTCTCCCCCCACACCAGAGCCTAGGGAGACTCAGCCTAGTAGATTTTGTATGGTCCAGCCCCAAGATGGAGCAGTGGCAGGGCTAGAGCGCCAGCGTGGGCACTCCAATGCTGGGAGGGATCTGAATCTTGGGGGCTAGATCCAGGCAAGCAAGAGGACCCCTCTAATCCTCGGGCCAGAGGTTCCCCACCCCTGTTTTAGCTCACTGATTGAGTAAGGACCAACTGTGACTTTAAATTCTATGAAAAGCACTTTTATCCTGCTAGATACCTCAACTAATTTCTAGCACAGCAGGAGTGAGAAACACTGCAATTAATATTTAAGGTAACAGTGCTCCTGACCTACATGCTGCTTTATATAGAATGCCTGTGATATCAAGATCTTGCAATTTACATTAAATGGGTTACAAAAGAAGACTATGGGGGGGGGGCGGGAGAATCGAGGAGAAGAGATACATTGTTCTTGAGAGAGTGATATTTACAAATAATTTAGATCACTTATTTTGTTCCAATTGTGTGTTAAACTTGTAGTTCAATTTTATTTTCAATACGATATAAACAAAGGAAGGATTCAGTAGCCCCAGAGCTGAAAATAACAACAGAGCACAGGTTGAAAGTAGCAAGCTTTGAGGAGTAGGAGGAGATAAGAGGGGTGAGGGAAATCAACTTTTAAGAAGAAATGTCCTAAGCTCAACTTTTATGAATTCCATTTAGATTAAGGTCTTTCCAGCAGGGATCACCTGTTAATTTGCAAAATGATGTCCTAATCCAGTGGCACCCATCAACACTATCTTATTCTCTCCTCTTAAGATATATTTTACAAATGTGCTCCTGTTTGTCCATCCGTGAGTCCATTTGTTCAAGAACTCCTCCTAAATGGTAAGAACTAGGACCACCAAATTTGGGATGCTGCTTCCTTTTACCCTAACTTAAAGCAAATTTAGGGTTTGGTTATACCAGGATAATGACATGTGCCTGGAATTCAATTCATTTTATGAGAAACAAAGGGAAAGGTCTGGGAGGAGGGGTAGTTACACCATAGAACCGCGGGGCAGTAAGGAGCCAGAGATGGGGACCAGGACAGCTCTAACTCCACTGAACCAGCAGGGGGAATGGGGGAGAAAGGGACAGCTATCTACTCTATATATTTCAGGGAGTGTCTGTTTACATCCCAGCAGGGGACATGCACCTTTCCCACCAGCTGTGCCCACTATAGCAGCAAAGGAAAGGCACTTCTCACTTTGCCCCAAGCTGTGGTGAGAAGAGAGGACTGGGGTTGTCCTCTCTCCCCGGCTTAGCCTACATACTGAAGTCCTCACCCCCACCACCACCCCAGAATAATGATTTAAATTAAGACAAACAAAACTTATTTTAGATAAGAACCCAAGCAACACCAGGTAAATCTTCCAGTTGTAATAATATAGGATAGCTGTGCTTCCACCCATCTCATTGCCTAAATTCAGATCAGGCCCGGCTGTATTTGGAGTGTCTCTACCCTTACTCAGCTTAGGTTATCTGACCAGGCAGCAGCCTATAGATGGGGCTGCTATTTAATTATGTTTTTTTTAAAAAAAGCAGATCGTTAAAAAAAGAGATGCAATAAAGAAGTGAAAGCCACTGAAGAAAACTATTGCTGCCACTAGAGGTCAGTAGTATCCATCGGACCATCTACTAACTAGCCTGCTAATGATGGGCATGTAAGGAGGAGTGATTAAATACGGATTAATAGAGTACACTTTGTACATTTTACAACACTCACAGTCTTGACAAATTGGAGAAACAGTCTGAAATCAACAGGATGAAATTCCATAAGGAGAAATGCAAAATACTACACTTGGGAATAAACAATCAAGTGCATAAACAAAGTGGGAAATGACTGCTTAGGAAGGAGTACAGGCAGTCCCCGAGTTACGCGGATCCAACTTATGTTGGATCCGCAGTTACGAACGGGGCTTTTCTTGCCCCGGGAGGACTGGAGTGGCGGGACGCCCAGATGCGCTGCAGTCCCACCGCCCCCGTCCTCCGGGGCGAGAAAAGCTGCTCCACGTCTCCCTGGTCTGCTCGGAGGGGGGGGGGGGGGGGGGGGGGCGCCCCCGCGGAGCCGGTGGTGGGAACCACCCGAAACTACTAGGGCCCTGGGTCGGGGTCCGGTGGAGAGGGAGGGCCCGGACCCCCCTACCCCTGCTGCCTGAGACCCTGACACGTGGGAGCAGGGTAACAAACTGCAAACTGTGGACTAGGCCTCGGGGCCTGCAAACTGAGGACTAGGCCTCCGGGCCTGCAAACTGAGGACTAGGCCGGGAGGCCGTATTTCCCCTAGCACAGGGGCATTGTACTTTGG